ATAACGGCTCTTGACATAAACGAGTCCCGCTAGCAATTAGCCGTGATTAATGTAGAGTTTTGCTGCACAAGTGGAGGAAGCTCGCAGTCCCCCGGAGGAGGTGGGCGACAATCGCATATTCATGGATCTGGAACAAATGTGCATTTAAGGGGAGTGGGGGCGGCTCCCTGGGACTTTTTCCAGCCGCAGCGCCTGGCCTGGGAACCGGCGGTGACTCAGCGTGGCCGTGACCGCGAACAGGACCGGGGTCAGGGGACGGAGGCCCACCCCGGGGACGCCCCACCGTCAGACGTGGGGCCGAGCCCTCATGAGCCAGGCCTGGGCCGAGCGCCGACACACCCCCTCCCCTGGGGTCCCCGGGATGGCTCAACCCTGCCCCCAATCACCCCACTTGACACATGAGGGCCGCGGAGCTCAGAGAGGTCGGGGAGCTTGGCCACCACACAGGGCCGCCCTTGGGAGCACAACGGAAACCTGCCCAGCCATTATGGCATTCCTCAGTTTCCCCAGCTGAGAAAGTAGGGGCTGATGGGGACCCGCCTGGTCTGGGGCTGGGACGCTGACTCAACCAAACTTCAGAATTCCCTGGAAGCCTCCCGGCGCCCTCTGAGGTGAAGCCTGGCGTGGCCTGCTCGAAGCCACCCCTCCCCGGCCCCCACCTGTCCCCGAGGTTCCTCTCAACTCCCCCATGGCCGGAGCCATCAGCAGCTCCCCTTAGTGGAACTTCAGGGCTCTCTGGTGCTCGGAATTAAAGGGCCACAGGAGAACCCATCACCCCTAACTCGGCGCCAGGGCCTGAAGTGGGCCCCAGCGGCCCTGCCAGGGACAGTCCCCGGCGCCACTAGCAGAGAAGACCCGGGCCCCGGGCACGTGCGGGCCGGCCCGCTGCACAGATGAGAAGCCCAGGCCCATGTGCACGCCTCGGGGGCCGTCGGGGCGATGCAGCCGCCATCAGACAGACCTGCTTCAGCGCTGAGCCCGTGAGCCCGCAGGCCTCGCCGCCGCCTGGGCCGCCCCCTGAGCGGGCTCCCGAAACTCCATCCCTCCCAGGCCTGGGCGCCCCTGGCTGCGCCCTCCCCTGCTTCCCGGGCGGCTTTCAGGAAACCCCGCGGCCTCCCCGCTCTGCTCCGATGTCCAGCAGGTCTGCCTGGATTGTCCACGCTGGCCCGCCCCCAGGTCGCAGCAGCCGAACGAGCTCTCTAGACCTTCCAGACCTTTCCTTCATTGTCACTGCACACATTTCCTGACTCGCTGCCAGAACCTTGGACCCACAGAGGAGGCAGGCGTCCTGCAAGCGCACCGGTGCCCCACACACGAGGGGGGCGCCCTCTTCTTCCCCGGGAGCCAGGCTGGCGCCCACCCCCAGGGCATGTTCCAGAGCCCTCGTGAGGTCTCTCTGCTCCCAGCCCGCCGTGGGATGAGCCGCTGTGAGGCCCTGAAGGCCGGCCCCGTGCCTCGGGATGCTGGAGGAGCCACTGTCACCAGCACCCCCGGGTCACCAGGCAGAGAGACTCACGCTGGCCCAGAAGTGACAGACACATGGCGCCCAGGACCCATTGGCCACCCTAGTCACCCGACCCCACCCATCGCCCTGGGTTGTTCCAGAAGGCGGGAACAGGATGCTCTCGGTGCGCGGTGTGGGCGACCCCTCCCGGAGCCCATCCGGCCGCCCACGCCGACGCCCCCGGTCCCAACCTGGGCGTTGAGCCCTCCATCCAGACACCCGCCTGCAGCCCCCAGTGGCCGGGCCTTCATTGTCATTCCAGGCCAGTGCAGGGTGTTATCTGAAGAGGGAGGGACTCGAGTGGGTCCTCACGGCAACTCAATTAATCCTCCATCGGAAATTCTAACACAATCAATTTGGGGAGCCGGCCGACATCATAACACAGTAATTAGGAACAACTTTCAACTCTCGGCTTCCTTTGAAGATTGTAATTGCAATTAATTAAACATCCTCGCTGCTCCTCAGAGTCTGTTCCAGAGGAAAATGGAGCAAAGGCGGGGGGCGGGGGGGAGGGTGCCCCGACCCCTGTTCTCAGCAGCCCAGGAATCCAACAGGACTCGGAAGGGCGTGACGCCCCCCACCCCCGTCTCCCTGGGAAGGCCCGTGGCGATGGTGAGGTAGGGGATCCAGCCTGGGTGCTCTGAACCAACGCCCCAGGGCCCTGCCCTTCCCCCAGGGCCCACCTGCACCCAGAATGGAGGGGGTACCCCAGTTGCATTCCCGGGCCTTTGTCACAAATTCAGAAAATACCAGGTGAGCACCCACCGTTGCCAACACGGGCTTCCCCACTGCGCACTGACAGGTCACAGCCCTGCCCCCCGGCTGCTGCCCAGGGCTGGGAACTACCCACGAGGCCGTGGGCTCCCCCGCCCGGACCTGAGCAAGCGAGCAAGGCCAGCGAGCAAGGTCAGCGGAGGGAAGGTGGGTGCCAGGCTCTGTGGGAGGCACAGCAGGCAGCAGGGCCCCGGACAGAGGAGGGGTGGCCGCCGGGGCAAAGACAAGGGGACACATGATGGTCACGGCAGAGGCAGCTGTTCTCTCCCCGCTGGGCTCTGCCCCAGGGCGACCTGACACAGATGAGCTCTGAGCATCCCAGTGGCCAAGCGAGGGCCCCGGGCTCTCCCCGCAGGACAAACAGCAACTGCCCACACGCTCATCTAAGGGGTGACGGGCAGGGCGCTGTCCTGCCAACCCCGCGCCTCCCCCGCCTGAACGCTCAGCCCCAGCACTGGACCCAGCACCCGGCCCCCCGTGCTCAGAACACAACTCAGGTTTCCAACCCCCTCTACACTGAAGGGCAGACGTTCGTTTTTCTGACCACGCTCCTCCGTGGGACCAGCATTTCTGACTGGAAGAGAAAACGTGCGATTTGGAAGATGTCATCAGCCCTGGGGCCAAATGCCCACACCTCTCAGCTGGGATGGACATGGAGGCCGTCCCCCATCACTCCTCCCTCCTCCCCTACTGAGGCTCGCACGGTGCTCCAGGCCCAGTCCCTACAACCCAGTCAAGGGAACCGGGGGGAGGGGGTGGGTTCAGGTAACACAGGCCCAAGTCAGCCAACGTGCGCTACTGCCCGAAGCAAGGCTTGAGTCCTGGATCGAACCTTACCTGAAGCTCAGTTTATTTCTGGATCTTCCAGTTTTATAAACCATTTTTGAACCTTTTGTAGTTTAAGCCTGTTAGGGCAGGCTGTGGTTTTAACCGAGTTCTAATAACACATGGCCTCGTGCCCCTGGGCAAGCCCTGTGCCCTCTCGAGGCCTCCATGTCCTCATCTGTCTGCCATCTCCACGGAGGTGCCATGAGGATGACATGAGGCTGTGGTTGTGCAAGGGCCCTGGAACCGAGAAGCCTGTGCCCCCGTGAAGAGGGGGGCTCTGCGTCCCCCTCTGCAGCTCCCTTCCTGACCACCCTGTGTGAAATACGGTCCACCCCTTCTCATTTTCTTCCTAGCACTTATTGCCGCCTTTTACTTTTTTTTTTCTTTCTAATCATGTGAGTGTCTTCATCAGGTAACTCATCTGGGATCTTTGTGCCCTCGGTCAATGCCTCTCGAACGAGTGGTGGCAAAGGACCAGCACTTTTATTTCCAATCTGTCCCCGAGTAATATACTTTCATCAACTAGATTTTTTAAAAAAATACATTTCTAGAAAAAAAATCTATTTTAAAAATACTAAACAGAAATCCTGAATTTTTGTCATTACTCCCTGCAGCCATAAAATTCCTCTGCCAGCTTGTTTTAGGAACATTTCAATGGCGGCTCCGTTTCTGCTGTTTTGGGAGATGCACGAGCTCTGTCCCCACAGGGCTGGTGGAGCCGTCAGAGGAGCCGCCCGGGGGTGGTGATAGACCCCTGTCTGCCTTGCCCCTGGGGTGGGACATGCGTCAGCACCCAGCGCCGTCTCCCAGGGCCCCCATGGGGACCCCCCGGTGTCCAGAGGGTTAATTCTCTGGGCTTCGCACCGGCCAAGGCCTTCCTTCCCTCCTCTGTCACTTCCTCGCTCGCCCACTTGAGTGTCAACTCTCAAGTAAACTGCATTCGGATCCATGTTTAGGGACTGCTCCTGGGTGGACCTAAACAATTAATACACAACATAGGAGGCACAGCACCTGGTGTCATTACTGCTGTCGCCCTATGGGGAGCCAGACGCACAGATATTACAAAGGAACTGTTGTGCATCCCAATAAAATGGAAAAGACAAAGTCGACAGGTGGAAGGAGCCTGGAGGGGCGGAGGGAAAGCTGGGGACCCCTCTTCCAGAGCCCAGGCACCTCCTTCTCTTCCAGAGGTGAGCCCTTCCTGTCACTGGTTCTCCAAGCAAACCAAGCAAGGTTCTGGAAACACCATTTCTGCCCACGACTGGGAAGCTATAAATAACTCCCAGATCAGAAGAAAGGAAAAAAAGAACCCGGATTCTGTCTGCACCGGAGTGAGAACGCACCCTCCCAGGGCGCCCACCTCCCCGGCACACCTGGAATCCACCCCCCACCCCACCCCCCAGGAGGACACCTAAGCCTCTAGCCCCCGGGTCGGCCGAGGAACCTGCCAGGGCCATGCGTGCAGAGGCTCTGTGCTGCTGGAGCTGCCCCACAGCGGGAGGCGCACCCGGGATGGAGGCTGGCTTGCCGGTGGTTGTTCTGGGCCCACCAGAGGCTTTGGGGGCCATTGGAGGAGGCGCCCCATCCCCCCAGAACCCTCATCTTGGAGGAAGGAGAAACCACTGAACTGGAGGTTGCAGATGTGCAGGGAACCCGATCCCCATGCTCCTTTAGGGCCTCAGTGTCCTGATCTGAGGGATGGGCAACCACCCCCAGCTCTGGGGTCCAGAATGCAGGCCCTGAGGGTGGCCGCCCGGCCACAAGCCCCCATCCCGGGTCCCATCCCTTGGACAGCCTGCGCCGGGGGCCATGCCGACCTCATTCCTTCACTCTCTGTGCCCTGGAGCCCCGGGTGGCTCCCGGGCGGCACCGGCAACTGGGTCGCACCCCGGGCTCAGCCCCCCCGTCCCGCCTGCCCGGGAATGCCCATCGAAGAGCCTGGACGAGCGGAGCAGAGCAATACTTTATTGGCGGCGCGGTTGCGGCTAGCCCAGCCCGGGGGCCCCGGCAGGGGCAGCCTCGGGCCCCGGGAAGGCGGCAGGGCCGGGCGCAGGTGCCAGCAGCAGCAGGCCGGGCCAGGGCGCACCCGCGCTGGCGTAGCTCAGGGCCAGGCGCTCCAGGCGCCGCTTGCGCAGCGCAGCCTGGGCCGTGGCGTGCAGGGGCCGCAGCAGCGCGGGGGGCGGCGCACCCGGGCCACGCAGCAGGAAGTTGAAGCCCGCGCGGTCGTGCGGGTCATAGAAGAGCGGCCCATGGGCCGGGTCGGGCCCCGGTGGCCAGGCGAACGGGAAGGGCAGCGTGAAGTCCTCGGTGAGCACGCGGATGGCGAAGTCATCCTCCTTGCCCAGCGCGCGGTAGGCGCGCCCGATGCCGCGGAAGTGGGCCGCCCAGAGCTGCGCATCCCCGCCGTAGATGTCCGGGAATGGGGGCTCCGGGGGCGCGGCAGGACCTGGGGAGCCACGGCCCCGGGGGCGACAGAGGGCAGTGCGGCTGGCCCAGAGGCAGCCCCAGGGCGCGCCCTGCAAGGCTCAGTGCCCCGTCCCCCGGGGCTGACAGGGGAGCCGCAAGGCCAACCCCCGAGGGCCCAGGGCCCACAAATGAGGAGGGCAGAGGGCGCCAAAGGGTGGGCCCCTCGGCACTGCTCCCAGGAAGACTGGGACAGAGGAGCCCGGGGAACTTGGCAGGGCCTCCTGCACAGGCTCTGACGCCGGGCCCAGCTCACAGCAGCGGCCGGGGAGGGTGATGTGGTCACTCTGGGTGGAAAGTTGATGCTAGGCTGTGCAGAGGGGGGACCGCGGGAGCCCAGCCTGCAGGTGGGATCAGGGCCAGTGAGGATGAGGTGAGGACACTGCACGGAGAAGCACTTAGCCAGGAGGAGACAGAGGGGCCCAATACCAGGCCTTGCAGGCAGAGGGGACAGCCGTGTCCCAGCCTGGCACAGCGACCCTGGGGCCCGGGGGCAGGAGCAACCCCAGGGGACAGAGGGTGAATTGGTTCTGTGTCTGTTGGACACCCTCCCCTGGGAGCACATCAACCCTCCGGTGCGTTCAGTGTCCCCCTCTAAGAGTCGGGAACAATCCAGCCTGTTCTGCACCCTCACAGATGAGATGGCACGGATAAATCTACTTTGTCACTGGAGGGTGATTTCCCAGCTCGGTCCTATGGATGTGCCCGAGCCGCCAGTCCCCAGGTGGTGGCGTGGGTGGGGATGCGGGGATCTGGCTCTGAGGGGGCTGTGGACAAGGCCAGAGGGGCCGGTTCAGGAACAGTTGTGCTCAGCACCGCGGGGCAGCTCCAAGGAGGCCCGGGCAGGGCACTCCCATCATGGGGCTGAAGGGTCCCTGTCCATCCCCCAGCCCACTGCCCTGCAGGCCTCCTGGGGGTGTGGCTGGGGTTCAGTGCCAGCAGGTAGGGCAGGCTGTGTGGTGTGGCTGTGAGCTGGGGATGAGAGAAAGCTGCAGAGAAGAGAGGAGGTCTGGAGGCAGCCCCCAGGGGAGGAGAGGGGAGGACCCTGGCACCCGTGAAGGGAGTGCCGCCTTCTGACTTGCACCTGTGGCCAGGTGAGCCTGGCTGTTGCCGTGCAGGCAGGTGAGGAGGTAAGGGCGGCAGCAAGGGGCCCAGGGGACAGGCAGGGCAGCGATGCAGGTGAGGGGCCGGTGGAAGACGTGGAGGACAGTGGGCTTGGAGTCTGGACTTGGGGCAGGAGCTCCCGGCTGGAGCGAGACCCGGGGAGATGGAGCGGAATGAGGCAGCGGGGCCAGGGCATGGAAAGGGAAGGGCCTAGGGCCCCCCCTCTCTGGGCAGGCCAGGGAGAGGGGGAGGAGGAGGAGGCAGTGACGGGAGAGGAAGACCAGGAGCACAGGCCAGGAGGAGGGGCGCTCCTGGGCCCAGAGACGCTGACGAGTCCCATCAGGCGAGGCCTCAGAGCTGACCCCCGCTCTCCTCCATGGAGGTCACTGGTGACCTTGAGCAGAGCTGCTTTAGTGAAGTGCGGGGAAGGGAGGGCAGCTCTTGAGCAGGTGGGAGGGGAGCCTGGGAAGCCGCGAGTGTACCTAACCTTTGTGAGGAGTCTGCTATAAATGGGGAGCAGAGAAACAGGACGGTAGCTGAGAGGGAAGAGGGGTCAAGAGACAGGGTACAACTGCATGCTTTTATGTCGCTGGAAAGATCTAGCGAGGAGAGAAGATGTCACGCTAGTGGGGAGGGAGGGTGGGGGTGGCCTGAGTAGGCAGGAGCGCCTCCCCCTCTCCCTGGCCTGCTGAGAGCCGGGATTGGGCGGACAGAGCCGTGGGCACAGGTGCAGGTGGGCAGGTGCCTGGGGGGCTGGGGCCCCGGGAGTCCTCTTCCCATGGCTTTAGTTTCTTGAAAGAGGGAGCAAGGCCAGCAGCTGAGTGGGGAAGGTGGGGGGCTCGGAGCCAGAGAGACCGGACAGAGGGAGCGATGGGAGCCGGTGAAGACCGAGGCCCTCAGGCTCACAGTCAGGAATTTAAAGAGCATTAGCGGTTGAGTTTATCCCCAGCTCACTCAGCTGCATGGGTGCAGGCGGGGCGTGGGCGGGCAGCTGGGGGGTTGCCAGGCTGGGACAATAAAACACAGAGGGCCCAGGGAAGGAGGGTGTGTGTGCGGGTGTGATGATTGTGGCAGGGCTGGGTGAGCAGAGAGGGAGGGAGGGAGGGAGGGAGGGAGGGAGGGAGGGAGGGAGGGAGGGAGGGAGGACACAGAACGTGCTGGAAATGCTGGGCTGCGATTCGCTCCAGGAGGACTGGAGTCCTGCTCTGAGGACCTGAGCTCTGGCGAGACTCCCGGCGAGACTCCCGACTCCCGAGGATGGGGTCAGGGCCAGGCTGCAGTCAGGGCGCTGATGAGGCCAAGGGCAAGGCAGGGGCGAAGGTGGGGGATGGGGGCAGGGGGACAGGATGCTGCAGGGGAGTCTGGGGAACCGAGGGGCCAGGGTAAAGGAAGAAGCCACCTCGGCCACGACCACAGGGATGGAGAGGGTCAGGGCCAGGGTCCCAAATTCAAGGGGGTGAATGACTGCCCTTGTCCAGGAGGGGTGATGGGTGTGTACATCTGAGGACCGGGGACCCGGCACTGGGGTTTTAGGAGGCAGTGGGGAAGGGGGGGCAGAGAATGTTCTGGAAGGGGCCTGAGGGGTGAGGAGAACCCCTGAGTGTCTCAGGGACCCACGGGCTGCAGGACTCCCAGGAAGGCCACAGGATAGTGGGCGGAGAGGGGAGAGGGAAGAAGGGAATGTTGGGGGGTGAGGTCAGTGCCCCGCCCCCCGCAGCTCTGTCCTGCGGCGACCTTGGTAAACCTCCCCACTCCCAGGAAGAGGGGGCAGGACGGCAGCCCCAGAGGCAAGGACACCTCCTTCTCCCCCATCCCTGCCTCCACCGCGGGACTCACCTGGAGGGGCTACAGGAGCAGGGGGCAGACCTACGGGGCTGGAGTCCCCCGAGAGAGGGGAAGCCATGTCAGCAACCTGCAGATGGGGCTTGTTTACCTGGCTGCCCAGGAGACAGATGGGGGGGGGGCTTCTGTGGGGGGAGAGAACCTTGCATTTAAAGGGACCCCACCTGGAAGTAAGCTGGGCCCCGGAGGGGGAGGTCCCCGTCCCACCACGCCCCTGCAGCTCACCTGCCCTGCTCAGGAGCCATCCAACCCCACCCTGGCACCCAGACACCTCTGGGCCCCTCCACACCAGCCCCCACCCAGGTTCAAGGACCCCCACGCCTCTTCTTCCCCCCGGTCCCCATCCTGCGTGCTCACAGGGAGACATCCCGCAGGCACCCCGCGAGTACTCCCAGGGTCGGAGGGGGTGGTGGATCTGCAGCCCCGTCTTCAGCGACTCCAGTAGTCAAACCAGGCCCCTGGCCTCAAGGGACCGGCTGGGCTCTGGGTCCCTCAAAGGGGACCCAACATCGCCGGGGGAGTGGGGACGTGAGCCCGTGACAGGTGCTGGTGGGTGCTGACCGCTACGGGGGTCCTCAGCACTGCGGCCTGCACGGGACTCCACCGGCCACGCTAGGGGAAGACCGGAGGCCCCGGCCCCCAGCCTCAGACTGGTTCCTGAGCAAGAAATAAGCTCCGGCGCACACCACGGAGCGGGACAGGGGTGGGGGCTGCGCATTACCCGAGCCCACTGAGCGCTGCAGAGCCCAGCACCCGGGGGAGGAGGAGAAGGGGGAGGAGGAGGAGGGGGAGGAGGAGGGGTCTTCCGACGCCTGGCCCCTCAGCCGCTCTCTGGCGTGTGTGCATCTCCACACCTCCTCTACGGTGCAGACTCACACCCATGGTTCAGGCCCCGGCTCACGCTGCCTCCTCCAGGAAGCCCTCTCTGCCTGCCCCGTACACCTCAGAGGCCCAGCCGGCCCTCCCACTGGAAGTCACCAGGGGCTGTGCCTTGGCTGGTTAGAGACCTGGGGTCAGGTGCCACCCTCAGGCCTAGGAAGGTGCCCGAGTAGGAGGCCGGGGAGGCCGTGGTTGCCATGGTGAGGATAAGCGGCTGCTCCATCCTCTCCCCAGTGGGCCTGACACCCCGTCTGGGCCGGAGCTCTGGCGCGGTCGGTCCCAGTGGGAGGGCTGAACCCCTGTCCCCCCGTGAGCTGCCCCTCAGGGGTTCCCACCGCCCTCAGAACAGCAGCTGAGGAGGGGGCAGAGCCGGGATGGTGCTCAGGAGAGGACACTGGACACACTCACCGCAGGCCATGCAAACCGCGTCATCTCGCTGGGCCTCAGTTTCCCCATCTACAAAACAGCTGAAACACCTACCTGGCTCCCGTGGAAGAATCAGGGTACCCGGGGCCCCTGGGGAGCTCCGTGAGCTAAGCATCCGACTCCTGATTTCGGCCCAGGCCGTGATCTCAGGCTCATGGGGTAGAGCCCCGCACCCTGGTTCAGGCCCCTTGCTCAGGAGGGAGTCTGCTTGGGAGTCTCCCTCCCGCCGTCCTCTCCCCCCACTTGCACACGTGCGCTCCCCCAGTAAAGACACAAATAAAATATTTGTTTAAAACATTAGGGTGCTGAAGGATGACACAATGTGACAGGAGTGGAAATGCGCCCCAGACACAAAGAAGTGCCCCCGTCCCCACCGGCCGGACCTCGGGAGGGGGAAGCTCCAGTCTCTGAGCCGGGGGGACCAAGGCCGGACCCTCCCCAGCTCTGCTCTGCGAGCTCTTGCTGGTGCATTGACGCTCGCACACAACGACAGGGGCACAGGGTCCCCCGGATTCCCCAGTTCCTCCCTGGGCGCCCTCCCCCACCGTGAGCACGGGCCCCGCGGAGCATTCCCAAGGCCCTGGCCCTGAGGGCTATGGCAGGGTCCCAAGAAGCAGCACCCCAGCCCCGTCGGCCCCCGCGCGAGGCACAGCACCCTCCTCTGGCCCAACCCGCCTCCTGAGCCCCCAGCCAGGCCAGGCCCCATATGGAGGCTGAGCGCCGGCCCCCATGCACTCATGGGCCAGGGGCACCGCCAGCCGGAGGCCCACGGGCACGAGGGTGCCGGTAAGTCACGTGAGGGGCGTGTTCCCCATCATCCCACGTTCCAGCCACTCAGTCGGGGCGGTGGCGGTGCTGGGTGGCGGCTCAGGCTTCCACAGCACGGGGTTAATGCAGGACCGACCACATGATACCGCCACCGACATCCGTGTTCTACACACCATGCCTGGGCGCCTCTGGGGGCAGGACCACATCACGGCCGCTCAGCCGAGCCGGATCGACCAGGGTGCCGCGGGAACAAAGTCCCCGGTCCAGGGAGCCTCATCCCTCCTGCAGCGTCTGCGGCAGTGGCCGGGGCAGCTCTGCTCCACGGGGCCCCTCCCTGGGGTCGTGGCTCCCCCCAGCTGTGCCCCCCACCCGGGTGGTGCTCCCAGGTCCGGTATCAAGCCGCAGGGCATCCCAGCTGGGCAGAGGGGCGACAGGCAGTCCTTCCAAGAGCACAAGAGGGAAGCGCACGTGGATGCTGTCGCTCCAGGTCCCCAGGTGCCCCTGGCTGCCGGGGAGGCTGGGAGGGGCACCCACACCTGAGCAGGCGGGTGCCAGCACCTGCAGGACGGCTTCCAGCTTGCCCCCACCACGCACCCAGACCCCGGGTGTCTTGGCGCCCTGCATTCGTTTGCTAGGGCGACTGTGACCAATCACCACCGATGGTGTCGCCAGGGGTCGGAACCCAGGTGTCCGCAGGCCACGCTCCCCGCGAAGGCTCCAGGGGAGAATCTGTGCTTTGTGTCTCCCAGCTTCCAGGGGGCGGGGGGCTGCTGGCTTCCCTGTGTGTGGCCGCGTCGCCCCACTGCCTGCCTGTGCGGTCGCATGGCCTCCTTTCCGTGTATCAGAGCTCCTCCTGCCCCCCCCAGGATTCGTGTGATTGCCTTGAGGGGCACCCCCAGAAAATCTGGGATAATCTCCCCATCTGAGGCTGTCTGACTTCATCACAGGCACAAAGTCCTGCTGTGCCGCGCACAATAACAATCACCGATTCCAGGGATTTGAACGTCGGCGTCCCCGGGGGGATGCAGCCTCCCACCACACCCGAGGGCAGATGGTGTGAGGACAAGAGGTCACCTGAGGAGCAGTCCCAGGGCACGCTGTGGGGGGTGGGAGGAGGCGGGGGGGGGGGCCAGGCTCCACCACACCTCCAGACCCCACCTCCCTGATCCCTGGGGGCATCGTCAGCCGGTGGCCTGGAGCCCCCTCAATGACGACAGGCCGGCCCTGAAACAGCAACAGTAAGCGCCCAGGTGATGCAGGTGTGGAAACTGTCACCTGCTCCCCTGTCCCTACCTTCACGGAGGCATGAAAGACAAGTCAGTAAATAAAACAACTATCAATCATGATAAAGGCTGGAGAAGGAAGCTGTCAGGGAGCTGGGAAGGGGCCATGGGGACACCCCATGTCCTAGTCTGTGACCCGAGACAGATTCGCGGGAGAAATAACATCGAAGCTGAGGTTAAGGAAGGACAGTATGTCATGTGAAGTGGGGAGAAAGAGGGTCTGAGAAACACTTTGCATATGCAAAGGCCCTGTGGCAGGAAAGACACGGTGCTTGAGGAGCACGAAGTCGCCCAGGAGGCCATGTGGCCGGTGAGTGGTGAGCTCACCAGAGAAGGGAGGGCAGCAAGGACCTGGGGAGACCACGGAGTCCAGGCCCAGGTGTTCCTTCGGCCACCATCTCCTCCCAGGCCTCCTCCCCTCTCAGTGGCACTCCCACGGCGTGTCTTCCCTCCGTGACTCCCCGTCTCTAGGGGGGGAGGTGCCTGCCTCCTTGAGAGGCCGCCCAGGGTGTCCAGGTGGAGAGAGCCGCGCAGGGGGAGGCGGGGGGGAGACCCGAGGAGCAGAGGCCCTGCGCAGCCCGAACCCCCAGATAATCCCCTCCTGGCGCTGCCACCGCCTCCGAGTTATTTTTAAAACCTCATTTCCAGAAAGTGGAGGAGAAAACCTTTCTCCGCTTTCTTCTGTGACAGATTTGGAGAGGGATCTAGAAAGCGGTGTGGACCCTAGAAAGCACAGCGTGTCCTGGGCTGCGCACCTGCGGGGACCCCAGGGCCAGACACAAGGAGAACCCCCACCCCCACCCCCGCCCACCCCCGCCCACCCCCACCCCACCCCCACCCCCACCCGGGGGGCCTCCACAAGGGAGCACACCTGCTGCTCTCACCCGGCAGGCTCGTCATGGGGGCCTACTGGGTGCTGGGGCACAGCAGGGAGGACTCCAGCATCCACCTTCATGGAGCACAGGGGCTAGAGGGGACCCCCTGGGACTGGGGGGCCGGGGCAGGCGCACGAGGCTGGCCAGGGCCGTCAGCAAAGGCCGCCCAGAGCAGTGACAGGTGCTGGAGCCCGGGGCGGAAGAGTGCGTGCGTGGACGGAGCAGAGTGAGCCTGGGTGGGCTGCCAGCACCCAACTGACCAGGGGCCACAGGCTGCACCGCAGGCGCCTGCAGGCAGGAGGACGCCCTCACCCGCGCCCACAGGAGGCTCAGGGAAGGGGTGGCACCCGCCCTGATGTAGGAAGTGCTGGGGCCAGAAGTAGAGCCACAGAGCCCAAGGCCCGGAAGGGGGAGCAGCAGCGAGAGGTCCCAGAGCCCCGGCCTGGGTGGGATCCGGGCCCTGCGCGCAAAGCCCCCTGAGGCTCGTCGTGCTCTGTGCGTTTAAGCATCATGAGAGGAGGTCAGGGGGTCAGATGGGGCCCCTTGTCTCCTGGGGGACGGTCCTCTGGAGGGAACTTGTCCGCGGGGCACCTGCTGTCACTGCCCGGCCTCCCCCCTCCCTCCTCCCAGGGGGCCCAGCCGGAGCCTGCACTGGGAGAGCTCATGCTGAATAAATATGAATAAATGCTATGGGAGCCCAGGGAAAGCAGGGGTGGCCTCATAGGGGAGGTGACGGGGGGGGGGGGGGCTCTGAGGGCAAATAGGGGAGTGCAAAGAGTTTCCTTATGAAAGCAGGGGTGTGGTGGGGAGGGACTGGGTGTTAAAACAATAGGACACTTCTTGAAGAGGGTGAGAGGGATTTATTGGAGGGGTAGCTATCACAACAGATGCAGGGACCAGGGCTCTGGGGTCGCTCTGGGGTCCAGCGTGGTGGGGGGATGAGGACACTGATCTGAAGTGGGGGGCCTTCGGGGGGGCTTCTTGCTAAAACTGGACGTCATAAGAGGGCGCAGCTGGGCCCAGGAGAAGGTTCCGGAGCTTGACCAAGCAGAGTCTTTGTCAAGGGCATTCCAGGGGAAGACACCGCTCAAGGCCCCAGGGGCTGACCTGGCTGCAGCCCGGAGCAGGAGGCGGTGCGGGTAGAGGGGGGCCTTGTGGCAGGTGGGCTCCCCCCCACTCTGGGGCAGTAGCAGCATCCCCTGGCGTGGTTTCCAGCAGGGGTGGAGCTGGAGGGACCCCGCGCAGAGGCGCCGAGCGGGGAGCGAGCTGGCGCTGGCCCGCAGCACCCGCCTCCCCGTGGGCAGTGGGGTCAGCAGCCCCAGGTTGCCCAGGCCCCCCTCCCCAAACGCCTTCTGGGCAGGGAGGGCTGTGGGGTGGGGAGGGTTGCAGGGATGCAGTGGCCAGAGGCCTGCCTGGGCCCGCAGCGCCATCTGCCGGCCACATGGGGAGGGACAGGCGGGCACCTCCCTGCCAGCCCCGCCTGCCTCCTAGGAGTGGGGAGAGGGTCCGTGGGGCACCCCGACCCTGTGTGACCTCCCGCCTGCCTCCGCTCTCTGGGCTTCAGCCCCATCCGGGGTGGCGAGCGCTCCCAGGCAGGGAGCCCGCATCCGGCAGAGGCGGTGCCCCTGGTGCAAGGATGCCCTGGGTCTCAGCAGGGGCACCAGGCATGACCCAGCCGACAGCAGTTCGACCCTGACAGCTGGCCATGTTGGTGGTGAGCGGTGGGGAGAGAGACAGATGTCAGCTCCCAGGTCACAGCCCGTGACCTCCCCGCATCCCCCACAGCAGAGGAGGGTCCACAGGGAGGTTCATCCATTCCCACTGCCCCGGTGTGAAGATCAAATTCCCGGGCATCTAGTCTGGCCTGAACCTGCAGGGACCGGAGTGCGCCCCCTAGGAAGCGGCTCCTTCATCGTACCTGGCCAGGGCTTGCCAGAAGGTTCTCCCTCAGAGAGGAGGCTGCAGAAAAGTGGATTAGCCCAGGGCGTGGCTGGAACCCCCAAAGGCCCAAAGGGGCCAGAATCTGCAGGGCCCCAGGCTTGTCCCCTCCTCTGTTGCCTCCCCACTGCCTGGACCCCTAAAGGGGGATGGGCAGCCCTAGGGGCCCCCCTCCCAACCCCAAGGTCTACTCTTGGCCCCAGTTGCAAATTCCCAAGCGGGGGAGACACGGGTTGGCCCATGCTGCGCAGCCAGCCCGGCAAACATCTACAAGGGAGCTCTCCGAAGAGAAAGGGGGGCCCCACTTGTGCCTCATGGGCGGCTGTGGGGTCCCCCCGCTGGGGCTGATCTCCTGCCACGGGCGTCCCTACAGTGCAGAGTCCCACAGAGGTGCAGGATGGCTCCCCGCAGACAGATCCCTGACTGTCAATAACCCCTAGGGCACAGTGAAATCTAGTCAAATGATCCGGAAGTGATGAGTTCAGGGTATGTGTCACCTGTATGTCATACAACGCGTTTCGTGGTGAGCTTCTGTGGCTGTGCTTAACAACCAGCTCTCAAGATTCCTGGAAATTTGGGAACAGACATGAGAGCCTTTGAGAGGGCAGCTGCTGCACACCCCTGGCCAAGGCCACCAGGTGCCCCAGGCACACTCCAGAGGCATCAGAGGACAAGTCTCAGAGAAGGGGCACCCGCCCCCCCCCCAAACACCTGCCCAGCAGCTTTGCAGGGTCCGGCTTTCCAGGCACCTGCCCTCACAAACGAGCGCATGGGCCTAGTTCTCTGCCCTTCGGGGCGCTGGGAGGGAGCCAGTGAGGCTCAGGGTTTCCCGCAAGACCCTTCCCATTTCAGAGCTTCAGCTCTGGGCCTTGGGGAGAATCCGGGCTCTGTTGTGCACCGAGCACGTCTCACAGAAAACCCAAAGCCCCTGGGGGAAGGGGGGCACGGTCAGCCCGGTTTGGGCAAAGCTCACAGCTTCAGACAAGTCAGTCCCAGAGCTGGAGTCTGAACCCCGGGGGATGCCCACGGCCTCAGGGGTGAGCAGGGGCTGTCTGTCGTCTATGAGGCCTCCCCCAGCAGGGCCCTGGTCGCAGGCACATGGCTGTTTCCAGGGTGCAGGGCTGCATGCACCGTGTGGCCGCAGGGGCTTGAGCCCAGGGGCCGGCTGGGCAGGGGGAGCCACGCCTGGGGCTGGAGGTGGCTGGTCAGGGCCCCAGCAGTCCCTCACTCCAAGGGGAGCCCCACCTGTAGGGCCTCCAGCAGCCGAGTATGGTGACAAGGGGTTGTGCTGGGACCCCGCTCTCTCCGCAGCCTTGCAGCTGGACTGTGGCGCAGGGTGATGGGAGGCCATAACCTAATTCCCACTCTCCCTGGAACAGAACATGGGCTGGTTATCCGTTGCTGGGTAACAAATGACCCTGAGACCCAGTGGCTTCAAACAACACACATTTACTACCTCACAGTTTCTTAGGTCAGGAATCCAGGCTTGGGGCACCTGGGCCTGGGGTCTCAGGGTCCCTCGGAAGCCAGAGACAGAGGGGCCGAGCCCGAGGCCACATGCGGAACGCAGATACGCGCGGGGACTGTGCCCAGAACAGGGCCCAGGTCCACAGCACCGGCCCTGGGAAGCCCACGGGCACTGGGACCATTGTGACCTCAGGGGTGAGGTCAAGGCTGGCCGGGCGGGGGAGGGGGACACCCGGAGATAGGGCTGCCCCACCCAGGACAGAGCCCACGCCTGGGGCCTGTGGGTTCTCCAAAGGCACCCCAACATGGACGGGCAGCATTCGGAAAAGTCACAGAGCGACACCACGGCTGATAGGACGTCATCAGCCATGTCCCAGAACCCCAGGGCAGCCCAGCGCCAGGCTGGGACACGTGGGAACCCAGAAGGGGACGCCCCATGCCCTGCTTCCCACAGGTACCCTGGCTTCCCTGTCTTTCAGGAGAGCACCTCCCTGCAGGGCAGCGAGGAGCACCCCCGGGGGCGCATCTGGGGGCTGAGCCCAGGCCCTGAGCCGAGAAAGGAGGAGTCCCTGGGGTTGAGCCCCACGTGGCAGCCCTTCGCTTGGTGGAGAGAAGGCTGGGAGGGACAGCACTGCATTCAATACCGCTGCTGGTGCGGACAGCGGGGGGTGGGGGGTAGCCGCGTGTCACTGGCCCTGTCCACACTGCAGGCGTGAAGGAGGGGACGGGGACAGCTGGGCTGACACTGTCCCCCTGCTTCCCTGAGCCTCAGCTTCCTATCTGCAGAACGGACAGTAGTGCAAAGACGGGCGCATCCTGAGGAAGGCACCCCTCGGCCATCGGGCAGCTCCACCTGCCTGGGCCCCGGGGAGGCCGGTGGGGGAGCAGGTCAGAGGCCGGCGGGCGCCCTCCCCTGCCAGCTCAGACCCCCCACCCAGGGTGCCCTCCGTGGGCCCCAAGGCGGGCCCGGCTCTCCCGACTATCCCCGGCGGGTTCCGGTGCAGGATTCCCGTGAGGGGCGCCCATTGTGGCGGGCTGTTCCAGAAGGAGCAGCTTCGTACCTGCTTTGAACTCGGTTATTTTGATCTGCGCACAGTTGCCTCCATGTGTGTGTTGTCAGGCCCATCTCCTCCTTTGCCACATCTTGGATCATCACTTCTAAGGCGAGAAAACGCTCCCGTCTGCAGCTGTTTGCCTGACTATGCTTCTGTCATTTTTCTGTATTTAAAAATATATTCAGTTTTGGTCGTCACAGGGCTAGGATACCATTTTAGGGCAGGATACAGGGCCAAGTGCTTGTGGGTGACACTGAGCAACCCAAGGTCCCCCCTGCGTGCAGAGGGGAGCCGGGCCCCAACCCGTGGCAGCAGCCAGCCTCCATCGGAAAAGCCGCGCTTCCTGGGAGCGGCAGGGAAGTGGCTGGTTTGTGCGAGGTGGTAGGAAGGTTCAAGTGTGCCCTGAGCCCCACCGGCCACCATCCCGCAGAGGCCGTGTGTTCTGGGACAGGTCACTGGGCCTGTCTGGGTCTCGGCACCGCGTGGGGTGGGTGTGCGAGGACTGCATGGAGTGTGATGAGGTGGGGCTGGAGGGTGGGAGGTGAGGGGACGAGAGGGGAGCTCATCGCTCTCCGGCAGTACGCTCTATGCAGCCGGGGCGAGGGCGCCCCTCCCTGAAGGCCTCCGTCCACACAGCACTCATCCTCCGTCCACACAGCACTCATCCTCCTCCCACCCAGCGCCCCCACACCGGGCACCCCACTGGCTGGGGCTCCCCGCCCAGGCTCGTCTAGCACGGCTCCACAGCTTGTGCAAACCCTGTCCCTGCTCAGCTTCTCCATCTCACAGGGTCTGCCCATCGCCTCCGCCTAGAACGCGAGCACGATGAGGAAGGGTGTTCTGTGTGTTTCGTTCAGATGGCCCCCAGGGCCTGGAGCAGTGCCTGGCACACAGAAGCATTTAATAAGTGCTCACCGAGGGGATGACGGCAGGAAGGGCCGAGGCTGCCCTGTGCTCTGCAGAGGGCTCCACAGCCACCCCCGGCCAAGGCCCAGCCCGTCTCTGCCCCGACACCCTGTAAACCCCGTCATCCCAACACGTGCCCCGGACCCTGCGGGCCTGCTGAGGTCGGGCTGGCCGAGTGGGGAAATGCGACATCCCTGGCAACCCCGGGAGGGTCCCCTGCTTGGCCACCCGGTCACGGGCTCCCACAGAGGCAGATGGCGGGGAGGGTCCTCGGCTTGGGCATGGCTATGGGATGGAGTGAGTGTGAACGCCATCTGGGAAGGGAGCTGGAGGAAACAGGACTGCCAGCAACAGCTCAGGAGGACGGGAGGACGGGAGGAGGAGGGTCTCACTGCCTGAGGAAGGCCCCCCGTGCTTCAGACTCACCCGTGCACGCGTTCCTTCTGCAGACCCTCCCTGACAGCTGCCCCGGGACATGTTGGGGACCCAGCGACAGACGGCACATCCCCAGGGACACGTGGGGAGGAAAAGGTCCAGAGGGTGGGTCAGCAGTGACACCAGGGTGCAGGGGAGCCAGTCAGCCGGGGAGTCCAGGGGAGGCACCCCCAGCTCCGGGACACTCCAAGTGCCCTGCCAAGTCCAGGAGGCTGAAGGGTGGGCGTCTGTGCGCTGCCCTGAAGGGACAGGACGAGAGGAAGAGAAAGGACCTGTGCTCTGGGCGGCGGGGCCTCAGAGCAAAGGCCCACCAGTCAAGGGGGACGGGCCTGGGCAGCTGGAGCCTGGCGAGGGGGCTGCGGGGGGAGAGCTAGCAGCTGCCACAGGGATCGGGATGGGCAGATTGTTGCTTTGATACATCGCTCTACCAATCATCCTACAAATGTTTGCTGAGCGCCTGCTGGGTGTGCCAGGCTCCGTCATAGGCCCGAGACAAGACCTAGAGACCCTGCCCAGGGGGCTACCTCCCAGGGGGGCAGACAGCCAATCAGCAGTAGATGCAATAAAGTAAGTTGTAAAATGTTACAAGGTTAAGAGTGATGTGGGAAAAATGGAGAGGGGCAGGGGGTGGAGAGGTAGGGCAAGGGGCAGGCTGCAATCTTAAATAAGTTCGTCGAGGAGGTAATAACTGAGCCAAGACCGGAAGGAGGTGAGAAACTGAGCCAAGGAGCTATCTGGAGGAAGGACGTCGCCCAGACTCAAGGGCCCGCCAACACAAAGGTCCTGAGGCAGAAACGCGCCTGGTGGTTGGAGGTGGGGGGCAGCAGGAGCTCACTGGGGCCGGGATGGCGTCAGCAAGAGAAGGCAGGAGGAAATGAGGCCAGAGAGGGGGTGAAATCACCTCTGTTCCTAGAGATGCTGCTTTCTTCTCCGTGACGGTATAATTTACGCGCTGTAAGAGTCACCGTCCATAGTGGACTGCCGTGCAGAGCCTGGACAACATCACACAGCCATGAACCCACCACCACACGCAAAGATCTGAAACAGGTCTAGCTCCCCGGGGTCCCCCATGCCCCTTGTGGCCAGCCCTCCCCACCAGCTCCCTGTCCCCAGGAAGGGGACCGCTCACCGGTTTCCTGTCACATGTGACCTTCTTCAGAGAGAGTCAGAAAGATGGGGCGACACAGTGAGGGGCTTTCAGGGCCTGGTTTCGCTCACGTGGCGCATGATGCGCTTCCGGACCATCGCCGCCGTCCTGTTTCTCAGCGATTCATTTCTTTTTTTCGTTGCTGGTCCGGTCAGTACTTCCGTGGGTATAATACACAGTTGACGCAGGTGCCAGAGGACACGTGCATTTCTTCGGCGTGGGGCTGTCCCACACAAAGAGCCGTTAACAAACGCTCGCATACAGATTTTGTGTGAACGTGGGTTGTTAGGTCACCTGAGCGCACATTGAGGAGTGGAGCGGCAGCGTGGGATCGTGAGCATATGTGTGACCTCCCAAGAAAGTGCCACACCACTTCCCGCATCCTCACCAGCCCTTCGAGAGGCCCGATTACCCACCCGCGTGTAGTATTTCCAGGTTTTTCTTCACTTTTAGCCATTCTAGGAGATGTGTGGTCCTATCCCACTTTGGTTTTGACTTGTCTCCCTCATGAGCAATGATAGGGAGCACTGGTTAGGTGCTTATTTGCCATCAGATTATCTCCTTGGGTGGAACGTCTGTTCAAATCTTTTGTATTTTGTTTTTTTTTTTTAATTTTTTTTTTTTTTATTTATGATAGTCACACAGTGAGAGAGAGAGAGGCAGAGACATAGGCTGAGGGAGAAGCAGGCTCCATGCACCGGGAGCCCGACGTGGGATTCGATCCCGGGTCTCCAGGATCGCGCCCTGGGCCAAAGGCAAGCGCCAAACCGCTGCGCCACCCAGGGATCCCAAATCTTTTGTATTTTGTTAGATTGTTTGTGCTTGTGTTTGAGTTTTTGTTTGGTTTCGTGAGTTCTTTATACATCCCAGATACAGATCTGCATGGGATATGGGACTTGCAAGTATTTCCTCCAAGTCCACAGTTTATCTTTTCATTTTTTTTCTAGATGTCTTTCAAGAGGCAGAAATTCTTGGGTGGGGGGATGAGGTAACCAGGTGACAGGCATTAAGGAGTGCGCATGCCTCCGCGATGAGATGAGCACTGGGTGTTATACTTTATGTTGGCAAAATGAATCTAAATTATTTTTTTTTTCAAAAAGAAGCAGAAGTTCTTAATTTTCATGAGATCCAATTTAACGTTTTTTTCCTATGGATTATGCTTTTTCGTGTCACATCTAAGAAATCTTTGTCTAACCCAAGATCACAAAGATTTTCTCCTGCATTTCCTTCTAGAAATTTAGAACTCTAGGTTTTACTTTTAGGTCTGTGATCCATCTTGAGTTAATTTTTGTATAGAGTGTGAAGGATAAATTGAGCATTTTTGCATGTGTACCTTCAATTATTGCCATTCGACACCATTTGTCGAATACATTTTCTTAGTTGAATCACTTTTGCACTTTTATCAAAACCCAGTTGGCCTTGGGGCCCCTGGCTGGCTCAGTCCATAGAACATGTGACTCTCGATCTCAGGGTTGTGAGTTCAAGTCCCACATTGGATGGGAAAATTAAAATTAAATTAATAGAGCTCTGACTTTAAAAAAAATCAGCTGGTCTTGTACATGTGAGTCTTTTTCGCATTGAATATTTAGATAAATTTTGATAAAACTGACATCATAACAATATTGTTGAACATGATATATCTTTCCACTTGTTGAAGTCTTCTTGATTACTTTCATTGCTAATTTTATATTTTACAGTTCACAGACCTTGCAATTATTTGCTAGATGTGTACCTAAATATCTCGTGATCTTTAATGCTACTGTATATGGCACCATTTTAATTTCGATTCCCAGTTGCTCAGGGCTAGTACAGAGAAACATGACTGATTATTGTACCCTGACTTTATTTTTGCAAATTTGCTGGACTCACTGTTCAGTTCTAGTAGCTTATTTGTAGGTTCTTTGGAATTTTTTAACTAGGTGATAACATCCTCTCTAAGTTAAGATAGCTTATTTCTTCCTTTCCAGTCTGCACACTTTTTTTTAAAGATTTTTTATTTATTTATTCATGAGAGAGCGGGGTGTAGAGACACAGGCAGAGGGAGAAGCAGGCTCCATGCAGGGAGCCCGATGCAGGACTCGATCCCGGGTCTCCAGGATCAGGCCCTGGGCTGAAGGCAGCGCTAAACCGCTGAGCCACCCAGGCTGCCCTAGTCTACACACTTCTAATTTCTTTTCCTACCTGTTTGTATTGACTGAGCCTCAGTACCAGGTTGGATAGAAGTGGTGAGAACAGACATCCATCCTTCCCTCATTCCCAATGACGTGGGGAAAACATGGATGTCTTCACCACTAAGTACGACGTTAGCTGTAGGATTTTTGTGGATGCTTCTTATCAAGTTAAGCAAGTTCTTTTCATTCTTGTCTCTATCGTGAATAGATGTTGAATTTTGTTTTCCTTGCCTATGCTTTCTCTGCATCTACTGAGGTGATTATATGATTTTCTTCTTTCATCTTCCAATATGGGGAGTTACACTGATTTTCAAAAGTTGACCAGCCTTGCATGCCCAGGATAAGGCCCACCTAGTCATGGTAGATGTGCATGTCTATATATTTTGGATTCTTAGGTTAAGAATTTCTTTGGTTTTGGTATCAAGTACTAAAGGCTCACCTCACTGAATGAGCTAGGCTAGGAGGCGTTCCCTCCTCTTTAATTTTCTACACGAGTTTTATAGCATTGATACCATTTCTTCCTTAAATGCTTGGTAGAGGGATCCCTGGGTGGCGCAGCGGTTTGGCGCCTGCCTTTGGCCCAGGGCGCGATCCTGGAGACCCAGGATCGAGTCCCACATCGGGCTCCCGGTGCATGGAGCCTGCTTCTCCCTCTGCCTATGTCTCTGCCTCTCTCTCTCTCTCTCTGTGACTGTCATAAATAAATTAAAAAAAAATTTTTTTTAAAAATGCTTGGTAGAGTTTAAGAGTAAAGCCACCAAGGCCTAAAGTTTTCTTTGAGGGAAGGCCTTCAACTACAAATCCAATGTTAATCGTAGACAAAGGGCTACTCTGGTTTTTTAGTTCTTCTTGATTTTAAGCTTTGGTTTTTATGATTAAGGAACTCATCCATTTTATCTAGGATGTCAGATTTATTGGTATAGAGTTGTTCATAATATGCTCTCATTATCCTTTTAATGTCTGTAAGCTGGATCTTTAATGATGTACCCATCCTCACTCTTGATATTAATAATTTGTGTCTTCTTCCTTTTTGGCCTAATAAAGCCTGATAGAGGTTTGTCAAATGCAGTCATCTCTTCAAAGAGTCAGCTTTTGGTTTCACTGATGTTTCTCTATTGTTTTTCTGTTTTCTACTTCATTGATTTCTGCTCTACTTTTTATCATTTTCTTTCTTTGGACTTCATACGCCCCTTTCACCCTAGTTTTTCAGACCTCTATTCTTTTCTAATGCTATAGGTTTTCATGCTATAAATTTCCCTCAAAGCACTGCTTTAGCTGCATCTCATGTATTTTTTATATATTGTGTTTTCATTTTCATTCAGTTCAAAATACTTTTTAACTTTCAATTTCTTCTTGACTCATGCATTATTTAAAATTGTTATTTAGTTTCAAAATACTTGGGATTTCCCATCTATCTATCTGTGATTCATTTCTATTTTAATTATATTGTGGTCAAAGTGTATGCTTTGTTTGATCTGAATCCTTTTAAACTTACTGAGACTATATTATGGCCCAAGAACATGATCTATCTTGGTAGATGTTCCACATCAACTTGAAAAGAATGTGTGTTCTTCTGTTGTTAAATGGAGAGTTTTGTAAATGCCAATTAGATTCCATTTGCTAAGGGTACTGTTCAAGTCTTTTATATCCTTAAAGATTATCTATCTTCTTGCTCTATCAATTACTGACAGAGGGATGCTGAAATCTTCAACTATGATTCAACTATTCTTCAATTATCTCTCCTTTGAGTTCTATCTTTTTTTGTTTTATATATTTTGAAGCTCTGTTGTTAGGTACATGAACATTTAGAATTGTAAGTCATCTTGGTAAAATGATGCCTTTATCATTATGAATTCATTCTCTTTATCCCTGGTTATATTATTAACACTCAATTATACTTTATCTGATATTAATATAGCCACTCTAATTCTCTTCAGATTATTGTTAGCATGGTATATCATTTTCATCCTTTATTTTTCATTTATTTGTGTCTCTTACATTTCCAGCATATACCTTATAGGTAGGTTATACTCGGGTCTTGATTTTTTATTCGATTTGACACTCTCTGCTATTTGATTGAGATATTTAAATCATTTAATGTGACTATTGACTCTGCTATTTGATTGAGATATTTAAATCATTTAATGTGACTATTGATATAATTTGGTTTTAATCTACCACCTTGCAATTTATTTTCACTTTGTTTCTTCTTCTGTTTGCTTCTCTTTTCCTCTATATCTTTTGTTGGCCTATTAGCTATATATATTTTAGTTTCTTCTTCTGTTTGCTTCTCTTTTCCTCTATATCTTTTGTTGGCCTATTAGCTATATATATTTTAGTTTGCTCTTTGTTTGATTCTCTTTTCCTCTATATCTTTTGTTGGCCTATTAGCTATATATATTTTAGTTTGCTCTTTGTTTGATTTTTTAGTGATTGCTTTAGGGCTTATAGTTTACAAGTTTACCATATCTCAGTCTATGTTCAAATGATGTTATGCTACTTTACTTATAGTGTAAGAATCTTACAACATCTTATTTCCATTTCCCTCTGCTGGCCTTTATGGTACTGTTGACATATATTTTACTTCTACATTTCTTTAGGCCCTACAAAGCATTGTTATTTTTACTTTAAACTTGAACAATCAGGAGAAATATTTTACATTCGCCTACATATTTACCATTTCCACTGTTCTTTATTCTTTTGTGTAAGAAAAGAATTTCCATATTTCCATCTGGTATTATTTTCCTTCTCTGACAGACTTCCACAAACATTTCTTATGGTGCAGATCTGCTGATTATAAATTCTTTCAGGTTTAGTGCATATGATAAAGGCTTGGTTTTACTGTCAATCTTTTATATTTTTTTCTCTGTGTGTAGAATTCTAGTTTGCCAGGTATTTTTTTTCCACTTAGTGCTTTAAAATGTTGCTCCATTTCTCCTGGCTTGCATTATTTCTGACTAGAACTATACTCTTGTTCTTGTCTTAAACTTTTGCCTATAATGCACCTTTTTCCTCTGGCTTTCTTTCTTAAGATTTTCTCTAAGCATTGGCTTTAGGCAATTTTATTTCAAGATCATTTTGTATAGTTTTCTTTACATTTCTTTCATTTGAGGTTCATTGAGTTTCTTGGATTCGTGGGATTTTTAGTTTTTATTAATTTAGAAACCTCAGATATTATTTCTTCAAATATTATATTCTGTCTCCCTTTCTTCCCCCATGAGGATTCACATTACACACACACTATGCCCTTTGAGATTGTTCTACAATTCACTGCTGCTCTGTTCCATTTTTTCCAGCCTTTTTTCTATTTGTGTTCCATTTTTTGATAGTTCCTGCTGTAGTGTCTTCAAGTTCACTGATCTTTGCTTCTACTGTGTCTAATCTGCCCTTAAACTCATCCAGTGTATTAATCTCAAATGTTGTATTCTTCATCTTGTTTTTTTTCCATGTCTCTCCTTACCAAGCTTATGTTTTAATCCATCATGCTGAACATGTTGAATAGTGTTACAATAACATTTAATGTCCTTGTCTACTAATTCTATCATTTGTGTCATTTCTGTGTCACTTTTGATCAATTACTTTTTTTTCTCTGACTTAGGGGTCAAATTTTCTTGCTGCCATGTGTGCCTGGTAATTTTTCATTTGATGTGAGCAAGGCAACAAACCATGAACAAATTCAATAGGTACATTATGTGGTATATCAGAAGGTGGTTCATCTCTTAACATTTATCCATTAATTTATTCTACCACATAAGAAATGTATGTCAGATCATGTCATTCAGAACCCTCTATGGTTCCCCACTGCACCCAGGAAAAACCCAAAGTCCTGAAAATGATGAAAACAACACCTGGGCTTCCCTCCAAGATGGAACAACAAGGACTAGATTCCCCCTCCTGCCTTAAATGACTCAAAAATTGAGAAAAAAAAATATACAAACCCACTAATATCAAACATTAGATACCCTTATGTCCTTAGTTATATTCCTTAGTTATATCCTTAGCAGCTAGAAAGGACACACCATGACTGTGGTCAGTACTTGGGAACCAGGAACTGAGAGTGAACAAGAAATGAGGTCCCAGAGTGTAGAGTAGAACCCAATCCTGCCAGGAGGATCCAAGAAGTTGTCACCACTCCCTAAATGAAGAATGCCTCCTTTTTTGGACCACTTTGGCAATGGGCACAGTCTGAGGGATTCCTATCCCCATATTTGCAGAAGAAGAGGAGGGGAAGCAGAAGTAGGAAGGAACCAGCTTCAAGGAGCAGATGTTCTTCCTTGTCCCTGCCACATGGTTCTTCTCAGTGTCTCCATCACGCACATGTAATTGTTCTCAAGGACCAGGCTGGTGGACCGTGGGGCACAGATGGAGTTGTGGTCCAGTGGATCCATTTTCATGGCTCCTGCTCCCACAACTCTTGGATCTCCCTCAAAGGCTCCTCAGTGACATCTGAGTAGCCAGGGCAGTCTCATGTGTGGCCCTGAAAAGAGGCTCCTCCAGGTCAGTGCAAGAGCTAGAGTTGGGGATGCCATACCTGGAGCCCTCCTGGTCCTGCCGGCCACATCTATGCCACCAGCCCTTGCTGGGAAGCCAGGCCTCTCCAGGCCCGCAGGCAATGCTGCCTACTTAACGGCATTCCCCTCTCCAGGCCCACAGGCAATGCTGCCTACTTAATGGCATCCCCTCCAGACTCCTTCTTTACTCTCCCCCCTTGGAATTCAGGCAGACTATTAAATAGAAGGACAGACACACAGAAGCATGTTACCAAGCCTGATCCTGACCAACATGGCTCTCAGTGTCTACTGGACTTGCATTCATGAATGCACTCAAAGGTGCCCAGATATGTACACCCTGGACTTCTTTTCCATTTCAGAATCTCCTCCCCTATCTCCAGATCCATGAAGGACCTGTCTTGTATGAAGGTACCTCAGGACCCTGCTTACAGGGACAGACAGGCACACCCCACCACCATTCTTCTCTGCAAGTCACGGAGCAGCCAGGCTGCTCTGATGCCCAAGGAGCACAAGATGTTCATGGAGGAAGCCTACAATGCAGGTGATCACCAGCCCTGGGACTCTGGCAAGGTAGAGATGGGGTGGTCAACAACAGACTCCATCAGGTCCCTCCACTCAAAAGAGTCCTGGGGATGAGGGCCAGAGAGAATCCACCCCCCCACGCCCCGAGACCTTATAGATGTCGAGGACCTTGTGGACATAATGAGGCTTTCAGCAATGAGCCCTATACAACCTCTTTGGCCTCTTCATGCTTTCTGCGGCACCATCCAAAGCCCAAAAATTCCCTCCCTCACACCTCATCTTTCACTTTCTTACCACACCTCTTCACACCTTAGGACCTCAGCCTAGGCCTGACCCTCTCACAGGAATGCTGTTCCCCTCATTCAAAGGATGACTTGCCTTCATCCTTCTAGGCAAAGTTAAATTGCCACCTCCTCTGAGTAGCCAGTCCTGAATGGCCATCTTTGTTGGGATGTATTTCCCCTCCCCTCTCTGTGTGCCCAGGGCCTTCTATACAACTACAGAACCAAATCCACTGATATTGGGTAGGGCTCCCATGGCTGAAGGCTCCCTCAGAACTGAGCTGGGTCCTGACTCCTCTTTGAGGCCTCATTCACAGTGCTATGACCACAGAGAAGGAACATCATTGAATGTTGAATGACTAAATGGAGGGTGAAGAGGTGAAGGAATGGATAGATGGAGGGACAGAGGGATGGATGGCTAATTTGAGTGGATGAGTGATGGATGGATGGATAGATGGATAAATTTATGAATGGGTGGGTGGATGGACAGGTGGGTAGATAAATTTATGAGCAGATGATGGACAGCTAGATGCATTTATTACTGCATGGATTGGTGCGTGAGTGTAAGGATGGACAGAGAAGTGAATGAATAGATGAAATGATGTACAAACAGACATATGGATGAATGTGTGGGTGGATGGACAAATGGATCAATGGATAGGTAGATGATAGATGATTGGATAAATGGAGGCATGAAAAAGTGGTAGAATCAACAAATGGATAGAAATATACATGGGTATGGGATCCCTGGGTGGCACAGCGGTTTGGCGCCTGCCTTTGGCCCAGGGCGCGATCCTGGAGACCCGGGATCGAATCCCACGTCGGGCTCCCGGTGCGTGGAGCCTGCTTCTCCCTCTGCCTGTGTCTCTGCCTCTCTCTCTCTCTGTGACTATCATACATAAATAAATAAAAAAATTTAAAAAAAAGAAATATACATGGGTATATAAGGGTGTGAAACCTGCATGCATTCCTGCTTCCTACCCTATCTCGAACTCCAGGAGGACTGTTTGGATAGTTAGGTGGCCCAGGAATTCCCACTGTTTATGGTTCTTTAGTCCTCATTTTCAGATCACTATTTCCCATTCCTTGGCCCTACCCCCTCCCTGCTCACCTGTCCCTGCTGGCACAATATAACCTTCCCACAGCACTTCCACCCCACACCTTTTTCCATCTCCTTTAGCCATTTGCTTCAAGATGCTCCGTGACCTGAATGGGTCAGATCCCCTCCATCTGAAGTACATCATCAAGAAGATCAAAGGCATGGCTTACAGAGCCCCCAACCTGGTGCTGGAAACCATCCATGACTACTTGGTAGACAATCCAGAGGTGGGAGCTGCTTGGGCCATTGGAGGGTCTGCATGGGGAGTAGTGGGGAGGGCCAGACCTCAAGGCTGGTTCAAATCTTGGCTCTTTGGTGCAGCTAAATGATTTGAGGCAAGTCTATCTCCTCATATGTCCAATGAGTTAAATGGGGAGGAAGGAAGGTGGGCCAAAATCAGAATAGTCTCACGATATAGATGTTATGATCCCCATAGATAAGAAAACAGACTTAGGAAAGGAAAGTGATCTGCCTAAAGTCACAGAGTGATTAAGTGGCAGAGAGGGACGGATGGATGGTTAGATGGATAGGTGGATGGGTGGATGGATGGATGGATGGATGGGGTAGATGGTTGAATAGATGGATAGATGGTTGGATGGTGGATGGGTGGGTGGGTGGATGGGTGGATAGATGGATAGGTTGGTAGATGGATGGATAATTAGGGGGAAGATATGATTAAGTTTTAATGAATGGGTGAATGAATGAATGAACTGACTATAGAGGCAAAATGTCTTTAAAATCCCATAACAGTTCCTGAAGGTAGAGACAAACTTTTATTCATCTGTCTCTGTAGAACCTAGTTCAGGGCCTGCTCATAGTGAATATTCACTAAATGATTATTGGACAAATGGCCAAGTGCATCCACTGGGGCCCTCCCCCTCTGGCCTCCTTGGCCTCCTCAGCCTCCCCACACTGGCAGCCAACTCCCTGTGTGACCAGACCCAGTCTGTCCCTGAGCCTCTGCCCACTTTGCCACCCACAGATCTCCTCCCGGCACAAGTTCCGGCTGTTCCATGTCCTGGAGGCAGTCATTGAAGCCAGCAACTCCCTGGAAGAGGCCTGGCAGAAATCATTCATGCAGCTGGCCCTGGAGAACATGACCAAGTCCACGGTATGCCTCCCATCCCAGAAAATAGGCCACTTCTGGGAATACAGGCTGCTGCCCCCAGCATCCAAATAATGTTGGGGGTGGTCAGCCCTATGGTTGACCAAGTGATTTCTGTCCGTTTCATTTTCTTACCACCAGCTTTTTCAGAGGGACAACCTCATGCACCCATTTTACAGTTGAGAAAGGTGAGATTCGGAAAGCTCATGGCTTGTCTGGGTCTACTGGCCCCGAAAGTAGAAGAGCCAAATGTCAGCTGGAGCATAAAGCCCTCTCCCAGAGGTCCCAGCCCTGAGATGGGCCCTGGGTGCCCCCACCACCACCTGTTCTACCATGGATGCTTCCCACACTCAGGCTCTGGAAGCCCTCCTGCAAGTCCCACCCGTTCTTCAGGCTTAACTCAACTTCCACTGCCACCTCCTGGTCTCGCCTGCTGGAGACTTCGGTTTGGTCCCGAATCGCACCAGCCCTACCTGCCCCAGGCCTGGCCATGGCCTCGGCTGACTTCAGCTCCAGGGACTTGGGGGCTGGTGGCTCTTCCTTAGACCAGCCCAGGACTGCCCCAAAGTGGACGTGACTTGTCACTGAGGCCCACCACCACAGGCCCGAGCCTTGGCACCCCAAAAAGCGGGAACAGGTCTTTATGACCCCTGCTTACAGATGGAGGGAGGCTCAGCGGTCTAGGAGACTTGCCTGCAGCAGTTACCTGGCCGGGAAATGGCCGGCGTGACCAGCCTCCAGGCTCCCTGCAGAGAGGCCTGTGGACCCTTCCCAGTGTGGGAGTCAGGGAAAAACAAAGAACAAAGTCCATAGCCCGTGTAAATGTGTTCCAAATTTCTGTCCTTTTTTTTTTTAATTTAAGTCATTGTGTGAAGCATGTCAGGCATATTTTTAAAATGTAAGGCACCTATGTATAGTCGACGGAGCAGTGGTAATACCGGGGCACGGGGCACGAAGGCTGTCCATGGCTGCAGGGCTAGCGGAGCCGACCAGCGTCCGGGCGCCAGCCTGGCTCAGCCTCCCTGAGGGTGGACAAGAGCCTCTCCGAGGCTGGGCCCGCTTCTGCGCACGCCGCCGCCCACCGCCAGCTCTCCAGCGTGGGTCGGGCACTTCAGCAGGCACCGCGAGCTGGCCCAGGGCTCACAGGAGACAGCAGGCACCTCATCACCCAGGTCCCGGCCAGCCCAGCCTGTCTGCCAGCGTCTTGGTGTCCAAAGCCCAGTCTGGGGCCCCGGTAGCCCTTGGCAGCTGAGGACGGCATCCCAGATACCCCGAGCCTTCCTCTTTCCTGGCCTGCTCTCTCGCTTTGAGGACACACACACACACACACACATGCACACACAGCATCCTGAAAAAGGGTGTTTGGGAAGTACAGGTGGCGACCAGGCATTTCTGGAAATCTCTCTGTTGTTTCACCCCAGACTCTGTGTTGGAGATTGTGGACAGAAACATCTGAAATGAAGTCAGGACTGTCGGGGTGGCAGCAGAGGTCACCAGGGACGTTGGTCTCCTGCACACCCACCCCTGGATGAGGGTGAACTTGAGGCCATGCCGACCACAAACCGCCACGTCGCGTTGCGTTTCCCAGAGTGAGGCTTGTTTCACTGAGCGCCGCCCTGGCAACCAGCAGAGGGACCTATCCTGTGGGGACCAACGTGAATCAGTTTTGCCTCCACCAATCGTAGTCCTTTCAAACAGCTTCCGTAATAAGCCTGTGGTTTCTGCCTTTATAAACTCTTTCTCTGGGCCCCTGGGCGGCTCCGTCAGCTCAGGTCATGACCCGGGGTCCTGTGATCAAGCCCCACTCGGGCTCCCTGCTGAGCCTGCTTCCCCCTCTCCCTCTGCCTGCAGCTCCCTCTGCTTGTGCGCACTCTCTCTGTCAGATAAATAAATAAAATCTTTGGAAAATGAAGAGAATCTCTCTCTCTTCCCCTCTCCCAGCACATTCCCGTCGCCTGCTGGATCTGTGTCTCCCAGATCGGAATTCCCCAAAGGCCCCAAATACACTCTTCGTTGGCTTTGCAGGTCAGTTCTTTCCTGTTTGACAAGATCATTGTCACATTGGCGATAATGTCCCACTGCCCTAGGTGCGGCCAGACACTTCAGAGCCATCCTGGACGTTAGACCTTCATCCCTCCCGCGGGCTGGCCTGCAGCACCTTCCTGTGTCTGCGGCTCCCAAGGGTGCCTCGCTCCGCGTCTGTCCCTAGCCACCATGCCTTCTGGCCCTGCCTCCTGCAGTCTGGCTGCTTGGGCCCCTTGCTTCTGGAACATTCCTCCCATACTTCACTGATGGTCTGGCCCCCTGGGTTTCTCTGCCCTCGTCCCCCCGAGGCTTCAGAGACACCTAACACATAGGCAAGGGGTGTGGGGTGCTCGGCAGTCCCCCCACTCTCCCCTGGTCTCCCCCCGACCAGTTCCCTGTCCTCTGTTCTGCTCTCTGAAGACTCATAGTCTTGCGGACCTCCCGTGGCATTTCCAGCTTGGGCCCCTGGTGCCTCCGACTCTCTCGTGATCTTGGTTTTCGCCTCCAGAATGTTCCTTTTCGCATTAAGCTGTTTATAGCATTCATGGCTGCAATACCTCCTCTTATCTCTCGGGATGTTCAACACACAGCTTTGCTCGAAGTTTTCATCTCTGTTTGGCTTGCGTTTCCTCCGAGGAGCTGTTTTCTGGTTTTGTCGGGTGTGTGGTGCCGGTTTTCGTCTCGCACACCCGAGGCTTCTGCAGCGTGGCTGTCTGCCCGGGGTTCGCACCGACGGGGAGCTCGGAGCACCCGGGCGGGGTGGGGGGGCCGGGATCTGCTGCCGCCCGCCACCCGTGCTCACCCCCGTGTCTCCCATCCCGGGCCGCCCAGAGTTCCCAGGGAAGACCCTGCCACAGCGCCAGCCGGAGGCGGAGGCCCCGGGGAAGCACCGTGGGCTGCCTGGCCTCCCGCCACAGGCCCGCAGCTGCCCCCTCGGGGGACCGAGCCTCCGGACTTCGCTGGACCCTCCAGGTGCACAGAGTGGGTACGGCATCCGGGCACCTGGCTCCTTCCTAAACCTCTGAACCCTCCCCCAGGCCCCCCAGGTGCAGAGGGGTGGGAGACACGCCCCCCGGGAGTCCTGCCGGTTGTGACAGGGCCAGCACCTGGGCCCATGCTCAGCCCCGCCACCTGTCACTCCCTGGCTCTCCAGCTCCCAGGCCGTGGCTGCTGTCGTCCTTTTTAAATCATCTCCTAAATGTTGTTTTGTTGAGGTGGCTTGTTTGTTTGTTTGTTTGTTTGTTTGTTTGTTTGTTTGTTTTGAGGTGTTTGAAAGAGCAAAATCTGGTGCCTGGGAGCCTCAGTCAGTGAAGCGTCTGCCTTCGGCGGGGGTCATATCCCAGGGTCGTGGGATCGAGTCCCGTGTGGGGCTCCCTGTTCAGCGCAGAGTCTGCTTTCTCCTCCCCTACTCTTGTGCTCTCGCTCTCTGGACTGTGTGCACTCTCTCTCCCTCCTCCTCAAATAAATAAAATCTTTAAACAGAGAAGAGCAAAATCGACTTCAATGCACCACCCAAATGCGAAGCCCTCGTATGGAGACTTGCAGTGAATTACCAACGACAGAATGATTTCTTAGGAGGAGTCCCACAGCATCACAGGGCCTCCAGGGACCACAGGCCCCTCACTTTCAGATGCCACCAAACACAGAGCGGACCTCTGGCCTCAGCCCGGCGACGACCGTGTGGCACCCCCCTCACACCTGCAGCCACGGAATCACCTGATGGTTCTTACTAAGAATCAGAGAAAAGAGGAAGCCAAACTTCGCCAGACCGTGGTGGGCCTGTGGCCCCCGGCACCTGACACCCTGGCTTCTCGGGAACAGAAGTCCACGCAGGACCATTGGCTGTGGCTCTGGATTCCTGGTGATAAAGAATCAAAGGCTATGACGTTGCCCCAAGCTGCCAGGAGCTCAGGAAAAGAAGTGGTGTTGACGGGAGCCTTCGGGGCGCATCTCCAGAGCAGGGGCCTCCGGGAAGCCTTTAAAACTGGACTAGATCTGGGGAGACAGGCGGGTGGGAGCAACGCTCCAGGCTCAGCAGCAGGAAGCATAGGAGGAGCAGGGGTGCAGCAGGGGTGCTGAGAGTCACGAGAAGCCCTGAGCCCCGGGGGAGCCTGTGCTTCAGCTGGCGCCTGTGCACCGGGCTAGCTTGGCCGCAGCTTCCCAGCCCACCCTGGGTGGACACTAGCCACCCCGTCTACCAAACCGACCCCGCGTGGAGATGCCAGAGCTTGCTCCAAGCGCCCACTCCTCCTTTTTGCCTCCTGCCTCCAGGAGCTGGAGGAGGTGTACCAGGACGCGGCCAGCGACGTGCTGCTGGCCATCTGTAGGCACTCATGGCGCATGGTGGCCCAGCACCTGGAGACCGAGGTCCTGACGGGCGTCTTCCCTCACCGCAGCCTCCTCTACGTGATGGGCATCCTGACCTCGAATGGTATGTCCTGCCCGAGGGGCCTGAGGCACCCCCAGCCTGGCCTGGGCTGGCTTCTATCCCCGGGGTCCCAGGGGCAGTGGGGTTTGGCAAGGGGGACATCACAGGGAAAGATGCAGAAGGGGGCTTGGCAGGACACACGCGGGGCCAGACTCCAGCCACACGACAGGCAGGCCTGTCCATGCCAGAGCACCCCCACGGCTCCCACCCCATGGCCAGCCTGGGCCACATCGGGACCCCCATGAAAGGAGACCGCCAGCCACCCAGCCGGGTGTCACAGGCCTGGGGTGTCCAGCTTCCAGTGCCTCTAGAGCAGCCACTGCCACTGAGCCGGGGGAAGGGCCACCCTGGACACCCAGGGGGTGGCTGAGGACCCTGAAGGAGGGCCTATAGGAAGGGGTCTTGCCGGGAAGAGTGTTTAGCGAAGGCAAAACAAGCAGCTCTGACTGAGCACCTGCCCTGTGCCGGGCTCCGGGTTCCGGGCCTCAGAAGCTCACGGCCTCCAGAGGGAGGCAGGAACCAGCTTTCATTCACTGTCCGCTCCCAAGCATGAGCCAAGCACACTGCTGTCCCCAGAAGGCACTGGGCCACTCTGGTGACCTCAGGGAGGGCCTCCTGAAGGAGGAGGCAGCCACGTGGGAGCCACGCCTCAAGGAACATGTAGGAGTTTGAGGAGGGAATGGTGCGGATCCCCCACAGGACCTCAGCAAGGGGTTGGGGGTGGTGGAAAGAAATGGATGTAGGAGGCTCACCCATCTAGAGGGGGCCCGGCCCAGCAGGGGGAGCCTCAAAGGCTGAGCCTGGGAGTTTGGCTCCGAGGCCGGGAAGAGGCAGGCCCGGGCTTAACTGGACTTCGTACACCCTTCCCAGGACTGGCAAGCTGGGTGGAGGTCCCTCTGTACCCGGATGAGCTCTGAGACTCCCAGGGCCATCCCCAAAGCAGCTGCCCTCTGAGCTTGAGTTTCCAACGTCCCATAAAAGCTTTCTATTCTCACAGCACACCACTCTCCAGGCCTTACTTCTCTACCCTCCAGAGGATGCTACCACATTCTAGCACATTCCCAATGGTGAGGCCCAGAGGGATGACCCCTCCATTCACCATCAGTGAGCTGAGGCCCCAAAAGGCAGCATGTCTTGCCTGAGGTCACACAGCAAGGGTGGCAGGGCCACAACCCCATCCAGACCTCGAGCCCAAGCTCAGCCCACCCCCCTCCACAAAGCCAGGACAAGCAGAGGCAGGATGGTGCCACCCTGACTCAGTCCAGTCCCTAAGGGCTGGGGGACAAGGAGCCAGAGCTCCAGCCCCCGTGCAGACATCAGACTTGACCTCCAGTGATGCCCTTCTGTCCCGCAGAGGCCATCTTCAATGAAGGAGAGAAGGCATGCTGGGAAGAGCAGCTGGCCCAGGTAGGGAGGAGCCCAGCCACTGGGGCCTCCTGTGGGGACGATGGTGGCAACAGGGGAGCAGGACACCTGCCGGCCCTGGGAGGAGGGGTGGGGAGGGGAAGGAGGGAGACGCTTCACTGTCACGGATGAGCCAACAGGCCTGGAGGGGAAGTGACCCATGGAGGAGCTGGGTGTTGAACCTTGGTCTCTGGATGCCTGGCCCAGAGCAGGAGTCCAGCCAGACAAGGCCCTTCCTCCCCATCCTGGGTGCTGGACACACAGTCTCGGGCCCAAAGAACACACAGAAACCCTGAGACCCAGGTGGGAGGAAGCAGGCCAGAGTGGACGGAGCTGCCACAGCCAAGGCATGGTGTCCTGCAGGCGCCCTCTGACCACACGCCCGCGTGAGGGGCTCCTGTGCTGGGGGAACAGACATGGGCCCCCTGACGTACCTGGGTTCGAGTCCAGATTCAACCAACCACAGCTGTGTGACGTGGGTGGCCTGCTTTGCCTCTCTGTTCCTTAGTTTCATCGGTCCAGTAGGGATATAAAATACCTGGTTCCAATGTTTGTTGTGAGGACTATAGGATGCAACCCACGCAAAGTGCTTCTCACTGCTCCCAATACACGGGAAGCCCTTGTTAAATGCTAGTTAATACTTTCAGTTACTAACAACAGTAACCCCAGAACAGCTGTAACAAGTGGCATCTGGTAGAAATGATACCAGGGTGGCAGAAATACGGGTAATTGATAGAAAAATAAGACAGAAAATCACTAAAGATAAAGAAGTCTTGAACAACATAATTAACAAAATTGATCTAATTGACATTTCTTTCAAATGTAAATAGAACATTTATGGAGACAGGTCGTTTGCTGGGCACTATATCAAATTTCAATACGTTTAAAAAGTCTGAAATCAAACAGAGTACATTCTCTGACCAGAATGTAAATCAGAGATCAATAGCAAAAATGTAACTGGAAAAAATATCCAAATATTTGGAAATTAGACAATACACCTTTAAATTATCTGTGGGTCAAAGAAGTCACAAGAGAAAGTAGAAAATACTTTGAACTGAACACTTATGAAAACACAGCATATGAGAATTTGTGAGTTTCGACATAAAGCAACCTCAGAAGAAAATTTATGTTTTAATGCCAATATTAGAAAAAAGGGTATAAATCTATTATCTAAAAAGCTCTCCCAACGGTGGAAATTAAACCCAAAGTAAGAAGGAAGGAAATGAGAAAATCGAGAGTACAAATCAGAGAAATTTTTTAAAGTGACAAATAATAAACCCAACAGTAAGTTATTTAAAAAGGTTGATAAAATTATAAGCTCTTTGACCGCTTGATCAAAGAAATTAAAAACACAAGATCCCATTCTCAGAATAGCAGGATTATCGTTGCACATCCATTAGACATGGGACAGCAATAACAAAATATGATTCCAATAAACTAAGCTATTTATATTGATAGACAAAGTCCTTGAAAAATACAAACTATCAAACTAACACAAGAAGAAACAGAAAATCTGAGTAGTCTTGTATCAGAGAAATTGGAATCATAATTATAAACCTTCTCACAAAGCAAACTCCAGACCCAGATATTTCACGGGTCAATTCCATCACATAGTTAAGGAATAAACACCATCAATTCTCTACAAATTCTCTCAGAAAAATAGGAGAAGAAGGAACACATCCCGAATCAGTACGTGAGGCCAGCACAACCCAGACAAAGACGTTACAGGAAAACTATAGACCAACAGCCTTCGTGAAGATGAAGTCAATTCCTTAATAAAATATCTGCAAAATGAATCCAGCAACACAGACAATACCCCATAAGGAAGGGGGTTTACCCCGGGGACACGAGGTCAGTTTAACATGTGAAAAGCAGTAAGTGCGATTCAATACATTAACAGAACAAAGTCTGGAAATTATGGTCGTCTCAATGAAGGAAAAGCATTTGACAAAAGGCTTCTGATTCCATGCGTGTTTTCCAAGGCCACCAAGGGATTCTCCAGTTCTCAGTGGACACTGACCGGGTGTCAATTCAACTCTGACATAACCTGGAGGCGGCATGCGACCCCAAAGGTTGAGGGCTCTGTCCCACAAGATGCCCCCCCTTCAGATGCCAACTGCAAGTCCACCTACCGCCTATGCTTTTGACCAACCAGCTACAGATCAGAGGGTCCTGTGTCCCCTGCCATGGGTTTGATTCATTTGCTAGAGAGGCTCACAGAACTCAGAAAAGCATTTCACTCACTGGATCACTGGTTTATTGTAAGAGGATCCAATGCAGGAGCAGCCAGATGGAAGAGGTGCACAGGGCACGATGTGGAGAAAGGGAGCAGAGCTTCCGTGTGCTCTCTGGACGTGTCACTCTCCCCACACCAGCACCAACCTGGAAGGAAGCTCCTGGACCCCGGTCCCGTTGAATGTGTATGGAGTCTTCACTACCAGGCATGACTATGAAATTGTTGGCCAGTGGTAATGAAGTCACCATGCAGCTCCTCTATCATCCTGGAGGTGGGGGGATTTCCTCCTCATGGTTGGCTCTCCTGACCACCAGCCCCATCTTGTGGTTACCTCTGGGCTTCCAAAGTCCCCACAATTAGCATGAACTCAGGTGTGGTTGCAAGAGGCTTGAATGAAAGCAAAAAGACACCTTTATCTTTCTTATCACTTAGGAAACCCTAAGGGTGTAGGGGCTCCGCTGGAAATGGGATGAAGAGCAAATATATATCTCCCATGATTAATCACAATATCATGATGATAATGGCCCTGAACAAAGGAGAATGTGGAAACTGACACCCATGGAGAACCTACACCCTATACTATAGATGACCAACTGAGCCCTACCCCCTGGAGTCAGAAAGAGGGCAAACAGTCCACTCCCTGCACTCCTGGTCCAATTTCCCAGACGTTTCTAACCAGCCTGAGAAGATCAGAAAAGGTGGGAAAGACCTATGGGTTGCAGTGGAAAAAGTAAAACTATCTTTCCCTGCAGACAATGTGATTGCATATGCGAAAATCTTACAGACGCTTTAAAAACAGTCAATGACTAGTAGAAATTAGCAAGATTTTGAAATACAAGATCAATAAATAGAAGTCTACTGAATGTCTATATACTAGCAACAAACAATTAGAAGATAAAGTTAAAAAAAAAAGTGACAGGAGCACCTGGGTGGCTCAGTGGTTGAGCATCTACCTTTGGCTCAGGGCATGACCCCGGGGTCCTGGTATCAAGTCCCACATCGGGCTCCCTGCAGGGAGCCTGCTTCTTCTTCTGCCTTTGTCTCTCCCTCTCTCTGTCTCTCATGAATAAATAAATAAATAAAATCTTTTTAAGATTCTTAAAAATAAAATAGTGATTTTAAAAATGTAAAAGACTCAAAGACACATGTAACAAAATATGTGCAAGATCCTCACAAAACATCGTAGAGAGCAATTAAGGAAAGCCTACATGAGAAGAGAAGAGACATACAATGTTCATGGATAAGAAGATTCAACAACGGTAAGATGTCAATTCTCCCCAAAACCGATTTATAAATTCAGTGTAATACTTACCCAACTACAAAACTTTATATTTTGATAACATTAAAATTTTAAATAAACATTAAAATTTGACATGGAAATTTCAAAGGCTCTAGAATGGCCAAAAAAAATCTTGAAAGAAGGAGAACATTGCAATAACAGCACCTGACTTCAAGATTTACTGTTGCTTTTTTTTTTTTTAAGATTTTATTTACCTATTCATGAAAGACACACTGAGAGGCAGAGGCGGAAGGAAGCAGGCTCCCTGTGGGGAGCCCGATGTGGGACTCGATCCCAGGACCCCGGGGTCGGTCACTCCCTGAGCGGAAGGCAGACGCTCAACCACTGAGCCACCCGGGTGCCCCAAGATTTACCATTGTTTAAAAAAATGTGACTAAATGTGAAGATGAAACTGGCTTTATTCAACAATTCATGAATCAGGCACCATCCCATCTGGCAGAGAGAAGGGAGCTACAAAGGGCTCTCACCCGGGAGATTTTATAGGCAGAAGAGATGGGGACCAGGAAAAAGCAGGGGTCTGGCAGGGATCTACCGGGCATCTACCTCACCCCTGCTGACCGGGAGATCCCTGACTGGCCCCAGGTCACAGGTCCAGGGGAGGTGGAAAGTGCAGCCAGGTGAGGTGCTGAGCCGTGGTTTGGTGACTGCGTTTGGGACCTCTTGCCTCTGTTATAGCAGCGGCCTCTTAGTCAACCTGGAAGCTTGACGAGAGGTGTGGTCTGAAGTCAAGGCATTCATGCCACCCCGACCCCGGCTGTGAGGTTCCGCTGCTTCTGTCCATCCTGTGTGACATCCACCGGGCCTGGTGCGTTTGTTAAATCTCTGTGATAGTCACAGGCCAGGACTTGAGGCTCAGTGTTCAAGCTGGTCACTGTCTGTCTTTATTTCTTCTCTGGAGTTACAGTCTTGGGGAGGTCATTGGCTTGGTGAGCAGTGGCTGGGAACATACACTTTATTTTTAAGATTTTATTTATTTATCTGACAGAGAGAGAGAGAGAAAGCACAAGCAAGGAGAGCAGCAGAGGCAGAGAGAGAAGTAGGCTCCCCGATGAGCAGGGAGCCCGATGCAGGGACCTGACCCCAGGACCCTGAGATCACGCCCTGAGCCACCCAGGCTCCCCTGGGAATACACATTTAAAGCCTCAGAGAGAACAGGGCACAGCAGGGTTGTTGGGTTGTTGCTATGATTATTACAAGCAGGGTAATGCCAAGAAGCTGGTGGGGTGGTCATCAAGGCTCGCAGGGTGTCCCCGTGAAGTGGGTGCCTGCATCACTGGAGACGGCGGGAGCTACACCCCAAGGGGGAAACACATTTTCCAGCAGTTTGTTGGTCACCGTGAGGGCCTGGGCCTTGCAGCAGGGAAAGGCTCCAGCCCGTCCGGACAAGAGCATCCAGGAGCAAGGATGTGTCAATAACCCCTGCCAAGGGCTGGTGGACCAAGTCCAGGTGCTCAAAGCGTCTGGAGC